TTCATAAATCACTATCCAGCATCAAGGATAAAATCCAGGTTTCGTTGAGACTACTATGCAAATCAACAAATAACAATGATCATCGCCAAATAATGAGTAAAACGATTTAATACAGGAGCTGGATAGCAATGAGCTCAAAAAGCAGACGGAGGGGGTCCAAGATTATAAGATTGTAGAACAAAACACAACTCCCAACAGAAGAGAAACGCAAGGCCCATAAGCCAATGGCGCAAAATGAACAAACTCGAAGGAAAAGGAAAAGAAACGAGTGTAGTAATTTTTTAGGTCAGTCCCAGTTTGGAAGACATTGGTAAGGAGATGCGAAGAAAAGATTGACACTGATAGTGGTAGGATTATATTCTATTGCAAAAAGGGCGGGTCGGGGGTATAGATGAGAATGAGGGTACCAAGCAACCAAAAACCGGGGGATTTGCTGAAAGTCCGGGTGTAGAATGCGGATATCTGATGCACCAGCCTTCGAAAATACAAATATCCGTGGGTCCAAGCCAATTTCCTTTTCCAAACAAGCCGTAAGAAAGAACAACGGAAAGAAATATTTGCATGTAGGATGATACACCTGGGGCCGTATATACGTGGTTTACTATTTTTTAGTAACGAGGACGGCAACCACAACCACAACCACGATGATAATGATGATGAGAACTATCGCACAATCTAGTTAGCCTGTGAATCTAAACCGTTGGAGATGGTCAAATACTCACGAGAGATGAGGAGGCACCACCACTTTTTGCGGTTGCGAGAACGGGCCTTCTTGATGGCTTCACCAATTTGTTCATTGCCTTTGGTAACATTCGCAAAAACTTGTTCACCCGCTTCGTCAATCTGAGTAACAGCAGCCTCTTGCTGGACGACTAGAGCATCGAGATCCTGGAACATTTGCGCTAATTCAACAAAGTCTCTTTCGATCTTTTGGATCTCCTCGTGTCTCGCCCGGACCATCTGCGATACCTTCTGCGCATCGCCCCGCCTGTCGCTTTGGATCAACTGTACAATCAGGGTTAGCTAGCTAGTCCGAGATCAATATTTATACAATGAACTTACAGCTTGGCTGAAAATCTGCTGGTTTGAGGTATCTCGAACGGCCTCCTGAACCTCCTGTTCAGTGGCATCGGGTCTCACTATCCTGTACTGTCTAGCCATCTGGGTCTCGGATTCCTTCCTGAACGACTGTTGAACCTGTTGATACTGTTCGACAGCCGCCTTCAATCTTCGTTCCACCTTCCCAATTTGCGGTGCATTGCGTGGGCTTCCGGCATCGGGCATGCGCTTGATGGTCTTCATGCGCTCAATAAGGTTGCGATAAAGACTCTTTGTCTGTGTAGCCAACTCATCCGCCTCCGCGCGAATCGCGTTTTCCCGTACCGGGTCGACGTCACTGAGCAGGCGCTTATGCAAAGTATCAATTTGGGCAATATAGCTTTCAACGTCATTGATGCCATTGTCAATGTCTCGGCATTGATTCAAGATCGCATTCGGATCCGGAGCGCTGGATTGGCCGTAGGAAGGATTGGTGGGCATAGGGCTCATCTCTATCAGAACATTAGACTACGGGTGGTGTTCGACAACGATTCAGCAGGCTGTAGTTCCTGGCGTACCATAGTTGGATTGGCTCTCATAGCCACCTTGGTTGTAATGATCTTGACGCGCTGAATAGGGGTCATATTGGCCGTAGCCATAGCCTTCGTTGTTATAACCTGGTCGCTAAAACAGGCCACGCAAGTCAGTCTATAATCCATAATGCAGGGGCCCAATTTCGCAATTCGACGGCCCACGAGATAGCGAGAATATCATATTCAAGTTAACTCTGTATCAGCAAGACTTACACTCATTTTGTCGACTGGATGAGGACTGGATGAGGAAAAAAGAGATTTAGCCGAAGCGAAAGGGGTATTAAAGGGGCTGGTTCCGACGAAAACTTCCAAGCCAAGATTAATGAACTTCCTCTACCCAAAAGCGCAAGAAAGCCGTTCGTGCGGTCGAGAACAAGAGATGGAAGACGAAATCCCGCAAAGGGAGGAGAAGCGAGTGAAACCAGGTGCGGGAAAGAGAAGAGAAAGAAGAGGGAGTCGAAAAGTGTCAACAAGGTCCCTCCAGAAGAGAAGAAGCCCCGTCTCGCAGCAAGATGTAGGCCCGAGGCTTGTGAGAAGGATAAAGAAACTGAGATGGGTGAAGAGCGAAGAAAGATAATGAGCTGACGATGGGGGATGAAGTTGAGCAGCGCGAAGGTTGAAAAGGAGTTTCGCAAAGTTACGGCCTGTGACGCGGCAAAACCGCCCTGAAAATTACGCCAATACAGCGAGCCAACTTCAGCCGGCCCAATCCGGCTTAGCTGCCAAGGCAGATGGGTCAAAGTGGGTCTGTCAGCGACCGATCGGGCGCTGCGCTAACCGGTATGGGCCTAGTCGCTGGTTGGCCAGTAGGGCTGTGCGTTGGGATTAGCTAATCCAGTGCGGCTGGGGCAGCATCACGCATCAGATCCAACATCGTCAAACGGTTCAGGCAACATCTTTCGTGGAGAAGAGTCTCAATTGTGTCCCCCAGTTGCATGATTCGAAGAGAAAGGCGGGGGTTGAGGAACGAAATCGGTGCCACCCATCTCTCTCTCTTCTCCTCGCCGCTGACTTACATTTCGAGATCTCGAGCCTGCCCTTGGTTCTACGGTGGGGTCTGAAAAACCCATTCAACCGCTGCCCACTGGACCGAGTACACACATACAACCGCCCGTCGATCCCATAAACGCCTCCGGGGTTCCCTGTTCCTGCTCTAATATTGACAACCAATTGAGGGACGTCAAGTTTGCACTACGAACTTTCGTCTGGGCCTCAAGAACACGGTGAAGACTTGAGTTGACGCTTCACTCCACCAATCACAAACGCATTTCAATTACTCCGTACCACGCACTGGTCTAATAATAGTAGTCCTTCACTCAAGTCCGATATCTCCGGGGCATTGAAGCCTTCAATGCTTAACCTGGACAGGCTCGCACTTCTTTTGGATACAAGCCCTCTTGGATGGGATGTGCGTGCCCCTGCCTGCCTTCGAACGCTTATGACAATGATAATACAGACAAGAGACCGACTTGCAGTAGACACAATCCCATGGACACAGGTAGTCTCATTTAGTATTATTTCAGCCCGACTCGATATGCAAACAGGAAAGCCGTGTCCCGACCCCATTTCCAACTCCCAAGAGCACATTTATTGTATAAAGAAACATCAAAAAGGCGCTTTACAAGTTCACTTTGCTCGCACCAGAACCCGAATTCCCTTCTCGCTCTCGGGAATCGGTAAGAAATAGTCACTTTTGGCTTCCACCTCTTTCAGTGTAGTTTCGAACAGCTTAAAACGATCGCCAAAAATTCTAATCACCGCCGACATCACAAGATACAACTCTGCATATGCAAGACTATTCAGTCATACCATATTAGCCAGGATGACTACAACACTATCAGTCAAATCGGGGGGGAAAGGATCCATACTTAATGCCAATACATTGCCGGGAACCTTTGGAGAACGACATCAAATAAGGGTCTAGATGCCGATGTCGTTTCCCCTCGTTGTCCAGCCACCGCTCAGGCTTGAAATTGCGGGAATCCGGGAACAATTCGGGGTCATGATGAGTTATATAACAGGACATTCCCACGGGCTGTCCGGGAGGAATCACATATTCAGTACAGCCTTTCTGGTAATTCGGTCCCGGCTTGAATATGAGCGGTTCATGAGGCGAGATGCGCTGAGAACGGGAGACAACTCCGTACGATAAGCGCAATCCTTCTGCGATGACTGCGCTGTAAAGCTTTACAGTCAGTTGCTTTCTGTCAAGTACACAGGAGGAATAGGGGTACTTATCAAATAGGGAAGATTCTCCAATACCGTTACCGGCGGAAGGATGGATGGGTCTGGGATAGCCTCCTCAAGCTCCCCGCGCAACTTGGCGAAAGTTTCTGGTTGGGATAAAAGATAAAATATCGTCACGGAAAGAGCTGCAATATGGTTTAGAGACATGTATGACTGCTGGGTTGGACAAGACGTACCCCATCCCACTGTTTCGGTTCCAGCGCCAACGATTAATTGGCCTTCCTCTTCGAGTCGTTTAAAGGTTTTTTCCTGGGGAGGAAGCTGTCCCGAAAGGAGCTCATGAAAGATGGTGTTGCCTCCCTCTTCTTTCCCGCTAGCCGTTCTGTCCATGAGAGCTTTCACCTGCTCTCCGACCCCCTGGGCGCTATATCAGTATAAATCATTGCCTAGACTGGAGCAATACCATGGCTCATACCAATTGAAAGATCATACATGCCGCAAGGCCTTCGTCTAACATCCTAAGGACAGGTCTGTGATATATTTCAGAATGTGCAATGAACCGTCAAGGCCATTAGCCAGAATTCACATACATCGGTATCATCTTAGACAGAGGCCGGATCCACGGGAACTGCTTCGAATGTGTCGCCACCATTGAACCAGTCTCGATGGTACGGCGGAAATTCTTCTCGAACTTTGGGTTGTCAGGGGAAATGAAGTTCGTGCTTCGTCCAAAGGCATATTCCGTAGCGATATCGCTCGAAAGACAGCTGAATGCCTCCGATATGGCGACAGGTTTACCAGTGCCTGCATGGGTTTCAATGATGGCGCACATGTCCCGAATCTTCTTCGCGATAAGTGGTTCTAGTTGTGTGATAGACGCTTTCGAGAAGAATCGCCTGAGGGCGGAACGGCGTAGTCGGTGATGATCATGATCCGATGTTCCGAATAGGCTCTATATTCGGATGGCCTAGATTAGCATGACCTGTGAGACTCGGGGATTTGTTTAACCCACTCCAGGGAGCCTGTTAAGAGATTAGTAGGCATCGTATGCTGGAGCTAATAAGGGGGTTTACGTACCCAAACTGAAGCGCATAATAGGGATATTTATCCCTACGCTTCCCACTCCCGGCGTAAAGGGTGTCTATGAACGCCGGATCGTTCACATGGAGCTCATGGGGGCTAATGCGGATAATCGGTCCTGGATTCCAAACCAAGCTCAAGTTACGGGAGAACCCATCAGACGACAGTGGAGAGACATACCATATTTCTCGTGCATGCGCAGAATCTCAAAGGTATACTGGCCGCCCTTGATTCCATCATAATAGTATTCGTACCAGAGCGTGACTGCCGCCAGCTTCGGACCAGGAAATTTCGCAAGGGGATGGAAGTATAATCTATAGATCGAACGGCCAGAGAAGAAAGAAACCAGCAGTAGGCACAGCACCACATAAGGATGCTGTGCAACAAACTGCCCAAGGTCCGTCAGCAGGGCCATTCTGTCAAGCTGCGCCAACCTGGCAAAGGATGGGGACAAAGGGACGGATCGCATGATGGGCAGCACTGTGGCCTAATAAGTACTATTGCGACAAGCTCCGCGAACCGAACTCTGGGGCTGCATTCTCATAGGTGCATGCGCAGTGATGCCGTTTCGGCTCCATCCCGACTAGTTAACTAAAAAGACGGGGAGAACGGCCAAACGCTCTGGAGCGGGAAAAATTGACGAGAAATCATCACCCTTGAAGAAAGCCGTGCATTTGTCACTACTCTGTCCAGGGATGAATCCCACGCAGCGACAACCCTTCTAAGACCCAGGCCGGCACTGCAGTTGGAAACGCAAGGAATTGTGGCGGCAATTGAAGCCCGACTGTACCTAGCGAGCTACCCTTTACAGCATAACTGGCAGTACATCGCGGATGGGTAGCCTGTCGCCAATTCTGCATGCGGAGGGACCCCGGCTACTTGTCACTCTAGTTTGTGCTGTTGTCGCCTCGCAGGCCATTCGCTCCAAATCAGTAAAGCACTCCTACACCCTGACGCGGGTATGTATTCGTCAACTACAAGATACGTTATAGAGATCGATGATCGTGGCCTGGCAACTTGAACTGGTACAATTTTATTCACCGACAAAACGGCTATTATTCAGACCCGCTGGCGAGGAGACGGGGGTGACGTGGAATGCCCCGATGATCGCAACAATGAAATGCCCGGCCTGCATCTAAGAAGGAAACCAAAGCGTTGCTCTCATTGCCAGATGCATAAGCGCTTCGAACTACTGGCCCCCAGGACAAGGAAAAAGGAACGGGATGGGGGTCCTTGACTGGCGGTATTTTCATCTGAATCTTGGGCAAAAGTGATGGCTGTTGCGGGGTTTCCGCGACTCAAGGCATGGGGTCTTCGCCCCTGTTGGAAAATGCGACAGCACGTTGTCAACAAGGCCGGTGGCTTGAAGAATTCACTATTCATTCTGTCAGTTGATGCGGTGTTGCGAACTCCTCGTTGATGTACTACACAGAGAGTACGGAGTACTCTTTTTCACTTTACATCCATGAACACGCCCCAGTTCGAAGACAGACAGAAAGAGAAAGCCGCCGCGATCTGCTACCCTTTTTCGAAGAGCACATCGTCCAAATCCTACCCTTGCACATGCGCCGTGCTTGCAAGTTGACCGAAGATTGACCCTGCAGGACTGAGGAACAAGGGAGATTGGCGCTCACCCGCCCGCATTCTAGCAGGGAATACTTTTAAATCCCGCCAACTCCCCGTCGCTAACAGCAATATTATTACGATGATAGGCTAACTGTCATCGGAGCCTTTTTGGGAGCCATATTGTCGGTATCCAATTGTGATGAATGGGATTGTCGATGACCTGTGCATATATGCATCATGCTGGTCAACCCACGGAACTGCGAACCAACAGCAGAAGCCGTCCTTGGGAACGTCCACCCAGAAGCCAATGATTCCAACCTTATTTCATTGCTATTGGCGGCAAAGCACAACGCGGAGATGCGAGGAGATATTTGAAATCCGCCCAGCACGAAGTATAGAAGAACAATAGGCCAGAGTCGGCTTTCGTATAGGGCCAGATTCATGTCATGTCTGCGTGGCAATGTGTGCCTCAATTCTACTTTGGGATGCCAGCAGCATTGATATCAGCGGCGCAGACTGTCAAGCCGCAAGTTTCTCCGATTGGGCCGGATTGACCTTTTTGCTCTTGAGGTGATACAACGTGCATGGAACTGGGATCGGGATGAATCGGCGGCAACACCTTGGGTTTTCGCGACGCAGACAGACAATATCCAATGCCAGCCAAACTCGAGTCCAACACGTCTACAGGGGCCTTCTAGTCGGGTGCGATTTCAACAAAAAGAAAGAAAAAATGCTCTCTCTCTGCGTCCTGATGCTTAGGGGCCTCGTGGCCATGCTCGTCTCGTCTACGATGGCAACATCAGTAGAGAACCTCCCCAGAATCCAAGCAAAGGTAATGTGCTTCGCCCACTCCGTTATTTTTGCAGATTCCTAACTCTGTGCAGATCTGGATTTTCTCAAACAGCCAATATATAGGCCAAAACAGCAGCATCGAGGCAGACAGCAAGTGCAGTGCACTTGGGGAACAGTTGTATGCCTCTCATCTTGCTCATTGCTTGGATATTCAATTTGAGTCAGCTACTGCAGCACCCATCATCTTGGTTCGATCATAATTGAACAAGGGTATCACTGTTTTGTTCTAAGGTCATTTTATCCCTGGATCTGAGCTCCCCCATGGTCTAGCTACCCATCTGGGCCTGACAAACGGAGAAAGAGGAATGCTAACTTTGGAGCAGAGACCCCGAATGCAAATCTTATATTGGGAACCTGCACTCTCCTGGAAGTGATGACCTGTTTGCTGGGCCAGCAATTGGTCGCCAAGCAGGAGCATTGATGTGCTCAAGGGAGTTCTAATTTCCTATCAGCTTTTGTACCAAGAGTTAATTATTTCGGAAAGCAAGTTTTGAAACCACTCTGGCATAGTGGATGCTAGTTCAGATTCACTACATATACCTATTTCAGCGCAACAGGGTACCAGAACGCTCTAACTTGAAGTGCAATATAAATTACAATATCTAATCCATGCTCACCCTTCGGATATGTCTATTAAGGAATGCTTATACAGAACTGTCACAGACATTGTCCTACTCCCCTTTTTTACCCCAACGCCGAGTTTCGTCCCCGTTTTCCCAGTCATGCTCTACATAACCCAAGCGTTTTTTAACTTCGACCACGGTATGGGTGTCCCCGGTATTCTTGCCCAGGTTGTCGCTTAGCTTCACTGCCGGTCTCCCGCCAGCACTGGACACCTTGATCACAATATTGAGCGGTACGGATTTCTTGCCGTCAAATAAATTTGTGAAATCATCTATGGAACAATCGGATGTGTCAGCCTTAATCATAAAGTCGGAGCCAACAACATGAGTTGGTATTAACGACAAAAAGACGGTGGACTCACTAGTGAGAAACGTCCCAACGCCAAAGACAGGACGGAATCCAGCTTCTTCTGCAATGACCTTATAATCCAAGCACAGTTGGATATTTAAAGAATCGGAAAAGACGATTGTCTTTTTGTCTTTAATTCCTTGTTTATCATAAAAGTCCTTGACCATCTTGACAAAATACACTGGGTCTCCTGAATCTTGTCGTACGCCGGTGAAAACCTCTGCATATGTTTTCTTGGATTCGCCGCCACCATGTCCGATCGGGGCAGCAATTGGCGGTTGGGTTTCGGCCAGGCCTCCGGTTTCGTTTTGGTTATTGGTGGTCGACGGCAGCCCGCTATCTGGGCCTTGAGCAGCCGCCGTGTACATCGGTATCTGCTTGCTAAAGGCGTCTAGGAACACGGGCGTCCCGAACGTGTCCGTTAATGCGACTCCGAGTACCTGACAATTTGCCTCAGTTCATTCCTCATCAACGAGTTGTGATAAATATGAGATAAATCGACTTACCCCCTCACCAAAACAGCCAAGCCAGTATCTCAGCGCAAGCTCATTGGCATTTTCATAGTTGTCAGTGATGGCCGCTAAGCCCATATACCACTCATGAGCAACAGTGCCAACCGGCTCTAGGCCGTACTTCATTGCAAAATGAACATTGCTGGTTCCTGATAACGATCCTTTCCAACCCTCTTCGCGAGCTTTTTCAGCAGCACGACACAGCCCCCGCAGTACCAGGTCCTGCGTATGGTAGTCTCGCCTTCTTCTACTGCCGAACTCAGAAAAGATGCACTCATGCTCTAATAGCGTACAACCTTTACGGAATGCCTTCTCTTCTTGTTGATGGTAGTCCCAGTCACGATCGCACCATTTAAAGTATGCTTCGCTAGTTATTGCAAGTAGTGGGATCTCATAGAGGATAGTTTCGACCCAGAGGCCTTTAATCGACATTGTGACATCGCCCAGGTCCGAATCGGCACCGGTATCGTTCAGTGGTACGAAGGCAATATCTACTTGCTTCGATGGGTTGAAGCGAAATTCTGAGAGGTAACGTAGATAAGCATGGTTGAGGTATGAACAGTGTGTTTTAAGGAACTGCAGCTCATCGGACGTTAATGAAATATTCGAGAATTCTAACATACTCGGTCTCGATTAGCTATCTAGGCCCGGTCTGGTCTTTTCAATGTGGCTCTCCGGAATACTCACTATCTATTTGTGCCTTTAACCATCTATACGCTTCTCTGGTAAATTTCATATGCTTGGTACGATTCGTGTAGGCATAAGTAACCTCTGTTCACATAGTGTGAATCACTTGGAGTCAGCTTTCAATAGCAACACAAGGGAAAGCAGAAGAAGCAGCCATATCACCCACCTGCACTAGGAAAATATTTGAGAATGGCACATTGCATCGTCAACTTGTATAAATCCGTATCCAACAGCGAGAATATCCCCTCCGGGAGCGGTTCTCTATCGGATCCCATGACGATCAATCAGAACTCCGAGGCGGTTGTTTCGCACGATCCGCCTAATATCAACGCAGACTGAGCAGACAAGAGCAAGTAATAAACCTGGAAATACCAATTCCGCTTATGCACAGACTGTTATCCCATCGTCAAAGAAGTTCCCTCCATCCCCCACACATCAATCCAAGCATGACATAAGACGGCGGAGGATGCCTGTTGTTTGCACTGTTTGCACTGGCCTGTGCATCGGAATCTTAAGACAACTTCGAACTGCCCTGTGTTGCCAGGATTGAGGAAATCGTTCCGCCAGCACAGTACAAGATGGCACCCATTCGACGATATCTGCGAATCAGCAAATACTCGGTGCTGGAATGTCGAATTTATTTGGAGAATCCCGCTGATTCTCGTTGGCTGTTGGATTCACGCGACCCAGTTCTTCCACGCGTGTTTAAGAGCATCCAACCTTTGGTGCTGCCTAAACTCCGCGAAGAAAATGAAAGAGCAAGGGCGAAGAAGAAGAGCCGACCCGTGAAAGATGTCTTGGTCGAAGGTTTGTCTTTCTACAGGTTGTCGATGGTGCATTCGGGAGGGGCTAACATTTCGTGAAAGATGAATTTGAAGTCTCTCTATTCTTACGTGAAACGGGAACGCGTCACGCGGTCGCAACGAGACATAGATCGTTCAAAGGCCATGAAAACATAAGTAGTGGCTTAACCGGAAACAGCGCTATCCCTATCAACATCCCCGACGACGGTGAACAACCGGTCCGTATTCTGGAGGAGAGCGCCCCTCTTAGCCTATACGATATCCCCGAAGCTCAACCAGAAGCTGTAGAGGCACCAACACCTTCCCATCGTCGCCGGCGTCGACGCCAAGTTTCGTCAACCGGAGAGACAGAAGAAACCTCGATGCCCCCAACGAAACGAAACAAGGCCGAAACGCCGGCAGAAACTGTTCCACAAGAAGAGAAGAAGATGAGCATGACCACCAGTTACGAAGGATTCAATATCTGGGGCTGGATATTATGCCTTTTAGTTTCCCGTCGAGACAAATCCAAGCCTGCGAAGACGGGTAATGAGTCATCGAACCAGGCTCTGATGGAGGAGTGGATTTGCACTCAGGCGCCTCAAGAATATGGAGAGGGGTGACCAAGAGGGCGATCTTGAAAACGATTTTCCTCCCATTCACCCCGTCGGCCTTCCCATGCTGGCTATTATTTCTCAGCCTAGCCTGGCACAACCCCTGCAGTCATTTGGTACCGATGCCAGGAAATAGCTGAACGGAACTCGGTCCGCTGCCATCTGTGAGCTTTCTTCCTTATGCTGATATCTCTGTGACTCTGAGCTTTCACGTGCGTTAGTATTGCAATAGTCCAGCCACTGTAAAGGAAATCTTGCGATTCAAGACTGCGCTTGGCCCCTCTGTTTAGCGGCCCGTCTTGGTGCCTCACCGCTGAGTCTGTGTGGACTTGAATGAAACTCAGAACAGGTAACAATCCGTCTGATGTCACCGCTTTTTCGTTCCCATAATTTCCATGTGAACGGGAATCCTTGAACAGCTAGAAGAATAACATGAAAAATCAGACATTCGCAAAATTCCGTGGCCCGGACTCCCCTCAGCCTCAAACATGTTGTCTGAGAGCAGGGATTCAAGCGAAACTGCTTGTACTCAACAACGCACCGCGGACAGCACAAAAATAAAATAAAAGACAATATCTCTTGCAAAATTAGTTCGCAAAATCCTAGTATCTCATGAGTTATTATTATCGCAATTTCAGAATTTCAAAAAGCTGATAGGCGATTTTATCCCCTGCATCGGCGAGGCTTCCACGTTGTCCCCTAGCATCATGCACAACATGCATTTTCCTGACATTTTGCTCACCATCCATGTATCCATGTCAGCATATCATCCCTCAGCGAAGGACGGCAACATGGGATTTGCTTGTTCGGCCGGGTATTTGGCGCCAGGTCTGAAGTGGCTGCTCGTATCCGTTGACCTTGCGAGGCTCGAGTTGGAACAAGGAGGGGCTGCGGGAACTAACGACTGGCAAACGGAAGCCAGTCCACAAAGCAAGATGCACGAAACAGGCGTACCTGAGTATCTTTTCGAGCTTTTGAACCATCTTAAAGTCGATAATGTGGTGGCGTCGACCGTATGTAACCTTTTAACGGGGTTGTTTTCACCCGATTGGGTAAAGTAGTTCTTTGGATCTCAGTTCATGCACCGTTCGACTTCACTTCAGCATCGCCGGCGCCATGCCAGCAGAATGCTCTTTCGACGAGGTCATACCGCGTTCTAGGCCCTTTCGCTTTCAATTGAAGCCAGCCATAACTTGATACCAAACTAAGTTTGGTCGAGCATCACAGAACAGACAGTGCGCTACTCGTGCATTGACTGCTCCATCCCCAGGTTGGCCATGCTTCCTGGGGAAAAAGAACTCACTATCTCATGCATGACATCGATAGTGGCACGACGGCCCCTCACGGGAAGCCTGGAGGAGCAGTCAAATGGGGCCTCTATCGCACGGTTAGCTCCTCATCCGAAACGGGACTATGATGTTTTCGAGGCACAGAATATGTGGTGTTATTAATATATTAGTTTTTGCCGAAGAAACGAGCGTCAATCCAACCCCGGATGAGCAATTGCAGGCGGATTCCATCCCGTCTAGCGGCCAAGCCCAGTTTCAAGGGTTTGGCCAGATAGGCGCCGCGGGGCACAAACCGGGAACGATGAACCTGTTAGCCTCGTTAAGTATCATTTCATTCAAGAGTGCAGAGGACAGCTGTGAAATATTCAACGTCATCCAGAATCCAGATTGCCACCTTTATATTCTAAGGAAACGTTGAGGAGACGCTCTGCCCAAGCTGTGCAATTGGCACAGTGCTTCCGGTTTAACGAAGAACAAACGACGACCAAGATTTAAAGAAATGCGAGTGGGATTCGCAATCCTTGGGACACGGACGCGGTGCTAATCCTAACTCGATAATCATGGTGCATTCGTTCTAACTTCTCCCTCTTGCACCTTAGCCCTTCTCGGTACGATAGGGCGAAGTTGTAATTTCGTGGACGGGAAGCGGGAATCAAAGTCAAAAGTTTCTTTTGCATTGCATTTCTGACATCACGATCGGGACGAATTGCCTGAAAATCAGGCCATCCCCGCGCTGCATTGGCTCAGCAAGAGTAACAGTGGAAAACCGCTACTCTGGGATGAGGCTGGATTTGACGACCTCGTGTCGAAAGGTCGTGAAAGGCGTCTCAAAACGAACTTGCGGTCTGCCCTCCGTAACTCGTCTCGGGGTCTGCTCGTCTAAAGAAAAGGAAACCCCTAGTTAAACTACAGAGCACACAGACAAGATCCTCGTCGCGATTACGAGATGAGGACCGAAAACGAGTTGATGACGAGGCTCTTCTCTTCTTGTGTCCGAATTAAGGTACCACGTTTTTTGCGGGTCTCTTCCATTCATCCTTAGCTCAGATCTCCACCACGTCATCGGCATATGATTGCGCTGGCCACAAGATTCCGTGGATGATGAATGTGCAGAGCGACTCTCCATCCGGAGTTCATTCGTTTTTATTCGTGGGCGGTCCGCCATCCGACTTGATGGGGACACTCCCCACTCGAACCTCTGTTTTGGTAGTCAACTGAGAAGGTTGGTGGGAGCTCATCTCTTTATCCAGGTTTTCAAACTGCCAGGTTCATCAGCGTGCAGGAGACATCCATACATCCGTTTCATTTTTGAGGTTCAGATGAGGCTCCTCAACGTGACACCTGATGAAACAATTTGACAACAGGATATCCCAACCACGATGCTTGACGGGCCAAAAAAGGCGCTGTGAGAGCGCAACAAAGAAATTATATTTTAGAGTGCAAGTGGGCCGCACGTTTTCCAAGCGTAACCGTGGAAGTCATCGTACGGAGTACAGTCGCTTCCAACTATTTCCCAACTGATGGACTACCATCCAGAGTTTTCCGTATTATTACCATCACGACGAGTCGGCTGTGACGAGGGTTCTGATAGCAAAAAAGCGAGGCGAACCCCAAACCGAGCGTTGTAATGCAGCATTGACATTTTACCGCCGGGGCTCATCGGTCCCTTTTGACTTTGAACGGTTGTCAAATCTGAAACGACAAACGGGGAGTTTTGGGACTCGCTCTTGAGGGAGGCGATTCATGACTTCATTATTGCTTCCCCCGCTGGATCCTGGCATTCAGGTATGACTTGAAGCGCCGCTAGCCTTTGTCTTTGTTAGATGTTGGATTTCAGAGTGAGTCGAGATGGTTGGGTTGACAAGGAAGTGTTGCACCTGGGATCTACTAGCAACATGCTACTCTACAAGGGTGCCACGAAAAGCGGAGTGCATCTCGTCCACACATCAGCCATGGTGCCTGGAGAACACAAGAGGATTGGAAAATTACACCGAAGTCTGAGGGCGCCAGAGATGAACGTCAAGAGGGCTTCTTGTGAAAAGAGCCTCATTTCGGATTTGTTACATCACTCGACAGGGAGCTACCTGATCAGCGAGGTTGCGCACGTTGCCCTCTTGGGGTTACTTGCCTTCTGTCCGAGAGTTGTGGCCTTCACAAGAGGAGATCTCCCTTCCACAAAAAAAAAAAAGAAAAAGGCATTTCATCGTTCAACAGAATCACCCGGCGCCAACCCGCGCCACTTCCATGCGAAGAGTTCAGACTGGCGGATACCGTAACTCCATCTTAACGGCTGTGTGCTAATTTTAAGATTGTGCATAGCGCAGGATTTTCATTCGCTAATCTGCCTTGAACCAGCGGTTCGAAAAGGGAATCTTCAATTCCCCATCCAACCAAAATCATTGCCAATGGATGCTGGACGAAAATTCAATTTTCTGGAACAAATGTAGCCAAAGGACTGATGATGTGCAAAGGAACTATCTATTGGTGCTGAAATGGGCCATCAAAACCCAGAGTTTCAACATCTCTTTGTCCGCTTTCCTGCAGAACCTGCAGCACGATGATCCCGACAATCCGGATCCAAACCAAATAATAACGAGAGATCGCTTCGGGCTGACCGCGGAAAAGGGATCGTTTTGGATCTGTCGAGTCAAAGCACCAAGGCCTCCGTAATAGTGGCTGACCGGTTTGATCGCGTCCACGTTTGTTTCCCAAAAGACTAACCCCTGCATCAAACTAATTTAGTGAGACAGGGGCCGACCAACGAGGACCAGCCTCGTGATCCGTTGAGTTTGGGGGCAAGCCGGGAAAGATGATTCATCAACTCCGGGACAGAAGGAGATTGTCATCCAAACTCCATGGAATTTTGATACTTTTGGTGGGAGAAAGGGATGCTGCAAGTGGATATGTGCATTCTGCCCAGGCGGCTAATCAAACCCGGAGCTGGAGATCATCACGATTTCCGACGGGAGCATTCGACAGGTCTGCATGTATGTATGCAATGTCTGTACATCCGTATGTAGCTTCAACTTCCACCAGATGGGCCCGGGACCCTCTCAGCAGGATTGCTCCTCAAGAACCATTTGAGGAATCCTTGCCATATCCAGCCCTGTACAGGTTCTCCGGCCTGGGGTTGCTGTTACACAGCCAAAACAGAAAACGACGAACGGAGTCGTTCACATCGACTTCAAGATACCGCTGCACCAATATAGCAACAAGCCAAACCTTCTTTCGGATATGCTACGACGAAGCTGAGAAAGCGGGGAAGAGGGGGGGAAGTCGGTGTGTGAACATTGCACAGAATATCTGTGTCTTATGAGACGCAAATACGAGACAAGGTAACTGTTCGGGAGGTACCAGCCAGAAACCGCTTCGGCATCAGCGAGGACAGAAGCAGAGACGGTCTGAGCAAAAAAGACCTCAGAACAAGGATGTGTGGAGCTCATGTGACGGAATTGATATTTTTATCATCTTACAGCGTGCGTACAGAAGTGGAATACGACTATGACTGCGAACTGGAGAAGCAGAAGAAAGAAAAGCAACAAAAACGCTGCCGGCGCAAGGGAAAGCCGCCCATTGCCCAATCCACCGCGGCGTCAAGTTGTCCCAGCATTCGGGCTTTAAGCCCTGGGATGGCTTGCACGGGGCGCCGGGCTAAGTGGGCTCGCTGGAACCAGATCCCTTCCCAACAAGCAGAAAAAAGAAGAGCAAAATTAAAAAGTGGATGAGGAACTAGGGAAGAAAGGCTGTGAAACAAGTTCTTCTTCTTATTATGCCTATTATTTTATTTTTTTTTCTTGTCCATTATTAACCAGCCATTATTATGACGCTTCTTCTCATATTGGGAGCCCTACCGATGATGCCGATTCTCGAGGCGGTGGAGCCGTAATTTTGATTCCTATATATCTCGCCCTCCTCGCCCTCGTTTGGTCTCACAGCTCCATCCTTTGCTTTGTGCTCTCAATCAACGCTCTAGCCTCGTCTTTGTCCTTCATTCCATCTATCCTCTTCACGCCAGCTCGCATCCGGACGCCCGTCTCAACACCCATAGTCACCACCCGACCTGACTCTCCCGGCAACAGCGTTGAGACAAAACAATTGAGCAATTCGAGCTCTTTATACCACCAATCATTCTCACAATGCCTTCGTACTCGTCGTCTCAATACCCTCCCTGCCCTGGCCCCCCACCCAAAGGCCCTCTTCCTCCAATCCCGAAATAAACCGAAGCCATCCAGCCGACGGGCAGTCGCACCCTAGGATGCCGATATCGACCTTATCCCCGTTAAACTCTCTCGATGGAGCGAGCTATCCGCTTGCTATCTCGATCAATTGGCAGCTGGCTGCTTCATATGTTCTGGCAAATCGCCGTCTTTTCTCCTGATACCCTGTCTATTTCCTTGATCGTTTTCGTTCCTGTCTTTTCTTTCCGCCTATCAGACCCTTTCAGCCAAAATCGAAATCTGCAGTACCAAAAGCTGTTGCACAAAAGCAAAGCCAGGCTCCCTTTTTTCCCCGCGAACTGCTTTTTGTCACCTCGTGCAGGACAGCATTGAGTTACATCTCGGCAACACACCCTCACGTCACACGATCGTCCCTGAGCTGTGTCGTTTCCCAGCAACAGCACGGTGGAGAGGGGCTGGATAGCTGGAGATTCTAGCTCTATATCCAGCACCCTGTCGACTACATGATCGCAATTCTTGCCATACCATCCACTTCGGGCCGGGTAACACACTCCCGACGGCGGGGCAGACGGTAGTCAGGTACCACTTGGGATCATATGATCTACCGTTAATCCCTGCTTCCTCCTTGGCCTGCTTTAGTCCAATATTTTGCCCTTCTCTTCTTGGACTTCGCCAAAAAAAAAATAAGCAGGTGTCGATTTCCTCGAGCTAGCAAACCCATCTCCCTGTCGAGGGCTCTCGGATGCTATTTTTGTCACGTTACATCCCCGCCTAAACGACCAGAGAGGACATTACGGACGGCCCTCGATGAATTAGTCGCCAACAGCCGGCATCACCCTCATGGCCGGATAGCGTCTGATGATTCCAAACTCGAGTGATCTACCCTCAGCGAGGTAGCTGCATGGCGGCCCTTCCGCTCAATCCCTGTTCCGCGCGTCACATTAGCGGTCCGGAAGTGTGTCTTCACCTTGCTTCGCGACCCCGCTGCGATAACTCCCCCATAGTTACCCCACTGCCTGAGCACCAGCTCGACGCATTGTGATGTGCGTGCTTCTGGCTCCGCATGCATGGAGAGGTCCTTTTCCCTATTCCGCCCCCGGGTCTCGCCGAGTTTTTGTATCGATCACATGCCTCCCCGCATTCGTCTATTGCATCGGCCTCGTTGCGGTCTATGCACTGGCTGGTTGATGTACTCGCTTGGCTTGTTGAACTTCCTTTCGGTTATGCGTTTTAAAGGCCCCTGCGTTGATTATCGAAAGCTTTATATACTTGATTTTTAATCCATGGTACCGGAGTTTTATCATTTCTTTTACCCTTTTACCTCAGATTTTGACCTTCCAGTTCCTTTTCACTCTTGTCTTACTGATATCATTTGGAAAATCCCCTTGCCCTACTCTTATGTTGAGTGGTTCCCCGGGTTGGATTGTGCCTTGTTTTCCCCCTTTTTAGCACACCTGCCTGTTCCGCTGTTTCCTTGCCGTCGGAGATGGAAAATCATATAATGTTAATGTAATGTGTCATCAGCCTGCATGTGGTTAACGCAGTATGAAACAATTCAAGAGGACAATTGAATATACGAATTGCTCTTTTCTACAATGGAGCTTACCATATGCCCTTGTGCATCATCATAGTTATCCTGACGAAATGGCAAAGTAAATGCTGATACTATATCGCACTGGGAGTTGTCAGATCCTGTTTACTGGCTCTAAGCCTCTATCCATCAAAACTTAAACAGGCGCATAGTAGCACAGTAGAGAATTTATAGCAATTGATATCGCCAACGTATATGTACACATGTCGATTTGACGTTCGCCCCTCTGCCAGCAAAAGCTATCCAAGCCTCGGAAACAATGCATTGACTGAGGAGAATAACAAGCTCAGTAGTCTTAATGTTTCACTGTGCTCAATCGCTTCTACGGCATAGTGTAATAGCCATTGGATCTGAAGCAAAATCGTGAGTCACGTGCACCAATCTTAGTGCAACGACACGGTCTCAAATCGGCAGAATTGAAACAACCGGCCACTCGCTCTCCGGATCACTCAAAAGGTTATGCAGTTATTTATAACTATACTTTCTCTAGAGTTGTGATTTTTGACATTTAATCAGCCACTTCTCTGCAAAGAAAGCCATCAGCAGCTACAAATAGCCCGCAGTTGAAATGGTCCTGGAACTCCATACCTGGGGCCCAGCGTTCGGTCTACCTTCGATCGACGCTCAATGCCTGGCAACCATTGCCTATTTCACCTTTGCTCTTCCTAAAACTTGTTCTCAGGAGTGGGTGTTGGTGCCAGATAGTGATCCCAAGATTGTTCCTACGAGTATGCACATATTAACGGGTTGCTGAAATCAGGATTTAATGCTAACGGAATGTTGCTTCGGCATTACAGATGAACTACCGGCGGTATGGACGGGTTCGAGATGGGTTACTGGTTTTCGGAACATCGTGGAGTTCTTGAAGCAATATTCGGATGGAGAATGGGATTTAGATCAGTGGACAAGTCCTAGCGAACAGGCGGATTGCGTTGCGTATGTTTAGGAAACTCTTTCGCCGTGATAGCCAATTACCATTGACTAACGTTACTGACGCTGTGAGTTTTCATTTTGAAGATTCTCGTCGTTCCTCGAACTTCACGGCCAGTCGCTCATCGACCTCTCCCTCTATGTTTCCAGTGAAAACTACCACTCCGTCACGTCGCCTGCATACGGGACTCTTCTCCAGTGGCCGAACCAATGGATTATCCCTCCGCAGGTGCGATCGCAGGCCAAAGCTAGGACCGAGCACCTCGGTTTATCGTCATTGGATCTAGATGTGGTGGAAGAGGAACGGCAGCAAGGAAGGGATGCAACCGCTCTCGCCGCTGGACAGATACCGAAGAGTCTGGTGACGAAGCCGCGACAGACAGTGAGCGGCTTGCTGGATAAAAACTTCGCAAAAGTCCCGGATCCGATGGGAAGGGGTTAACGGGCGCGGTTTGTGGACCCCGTTACAAGATCTATTGGGAAATAAGCACTATCTCCTCTCGGACAACATTGCATCCAGTTTGGATTGTTTCGCCGTGAGATATTTATCATTGGCCCTGGTTCCCTGAGCTGCCGTTCCCTTGGCTCAAAGACGATATCGAAGCGCAAGCTCCAAGACTAGCAGCTTACGTAACAAGGCTTGTGACAGAGTGTTTCGGAGGCCGAATAGACGCCGTTACAATGCTTCGTGACCCCCAAACTGGACCTGCTTCACGGCTCCCATGGCAAGTGCCTCAGAAGATCAGTTTCGGAAGCATTGGGCTGCGAATTCTTGAAGGGATTGCAGACGCGATTCCGGTTGTCAAAGATATCCGTTTCAGCAGGCGACTGCGACAAATGAGCCAGGAGAAGTCACCCGACGCGGGGGAAGTCACGGCCCTAGCTGAGACTTACAAACGAGAGGCCTTGACGTCTGCGGCAACAGTGACTTTTGGACTTGGGATGTTTGTGTTCTACCTCTTCAAAACCGGGCTCATTCAGGTGGACTTGAAAACAGAAGACGAGCAAACTGAGCATGACGGATCTCACAGCGAGGGACACGGCGAAACACCGTTGGCTTTTGGGGAGGCTGGCAGCTTTCTTGGGCTCTGACCCGGTGTCGCTTGCACGCAGCACAAGCGGGATGCCATTTGTTTTCTTTTTCTCTTCCCTGTTCCTTCTGATATCAAAATAGATCACCTGGCTTCCAAAAGCGGGAATGCTTTCGCTGCACTTCAGACGAAAACCTGGACGGACCAATCAGCGCATCGGCACGTGGCTCGTCCCTTGGCACGGTCACCAAGGTCCTCACGCGTGATTTTTCAATCTCTGCGCGTTGATTGGTTTATCTTAACGATTACTCAGCCTACACAGCCAATCAGAAGCAGCACACTCTTTCCCCCAAGGTCCTCATGCGCAGAATGCTATCATGCTTAGTCATGATGTTGACGCCCAAGGCTCAGTGTGCCCCCAAGGTCCTCTCGCACGCCAGGAATTCGCTGCTCGCTTGTTACTTCTCTTCGTCCTGGGTGCTGTCTGCTACTTAAACATCTCCGTTTCGCCTGGACACCTCCCTGGAACCCGCCTATTACTCTCTCCAACCCGGTCGCTTCAGAACCAGACTCACACCGATCACCATCTGGCAGCCACCCCTTGTCCTTCCTTTCGTCTCTCTTTGGCGGGATTGGCGCACTCTCCTCGTGTCAAAAAGCAAACATCAAGGCCACGAGGGATATACGAGAACCCTTTTCCGGGGAATTTTCAACCATCCTTGCTTTGCAATTATCTCTCCTCGAAGCCGTAATTGGGGTAACCGGCACGCTCGAATCCTTCAAACCTACCGTCCTCCCACGATTTTCCACCATATCAGCAGTTTCAAAAGGCCCCCCTACAAAAGCTCATACCTTCAAATCAGCGAGTGG